ATAGTTTTATGTATCATTTTCCTTGGTCAAATATTGCAATTTAATAGGAACCTTTGATGATATGACCCAACCAAGTTATTTTAATTGGAAGTTGGCACCATGATATACAATTCACCAATCCTGTCGGGTTTTCATTTGCTTTCACCCATAGTTTCTCATCACTTCCGTGTATCTGGAAGGGGAGGGGTGATGATTATGGAGAATATATTTTTGTGGGTTAGTAGACTTTTCGAAACACATAATCAAGCAGGAGAGCATGTTAACCACATCATTGCGTCTTGCCTTTTAATCAGCCTGGGCTGGTACAACTACCAACTGAAGCTAATTTTTAAATCATTCTAATAGCTGCTTTCCCAGTGGAGAAGCCAGGCACCCAGAGTGATGGACAGAGGAGCTGAAGAGGGAGATGTGGTGGTCATCTGAATTCGATGACTTGGTAAGTTGCTGTGACTTCTGGGAATGGCTGCCTGTCATGGCAGCCCCTACATGGATGAGCGGTGTGGTAGCTCTAAAACATGAGTGGCATGGGAGAGGCCTAGGGAGATGTTGGACTTGGAAAAATGAACTTGGCAGTGTGCCTTGTTTGGAGGAAAATGCTGGAGGGGGTGATACCTTGTGGATATGAAGCCAACTGTCATCTGTGGAGACCAGTGGTGGAAGGAAGGGCCTGGAAAAGCCTCTGTTGGACTGGCCAGTTGCTTGTGGTTACAGAACCATTCACACAAGCCCGTAAGGTTCTAGACCCAGTTTTGTTGGTTTTTTATTGGACCTCACAGATTGAGAAATTCTTATTTTGTAAACTTAGAGCTTGTTCACTTTGCTTTTTCTATATTTCCTTTGGGGTTATATAGCGTTTTCACAGCGTTCTTTCTGAAAATGCCTGCCCACCTCAGCTGTATTGAGAATAGACAAAGATCAAAAGGCTCCAGGCCCCGGAGGACATGAGATTCTGGAATGAGTTAAGCCAGTAGAGCGAGCAGACACAAAGTGAAGGACTATTCAGTGGGACATGAAAAGACCAGGGGACAGGTCAGGCATGGCTGAGGCATCCCTCTCTCTGTCCTCAGATGGCTGTGTTTGACCCAGAGCTTGCAGAGTTTTATACTAGATAGTATTACGGGGACAATCTTCTCTCAGTCCAATGTGGGTGGTTTTACTGGACATAAATGGCTCTAGTCTGAAGAACCAAGCATTGGAAAGTGGTCACCCTTTTTTCTTGCTCTCTCTGATCCCCACCCACTCCAACTACCCCAGTGGGAATTAACAACTGAGGCTGTAAAAACTATTGCCACTCAGTTGATTCTGATATACAAAGACCCTTTTGGACAGAGAAGGAGACTTGATGGTGACAGAGAAGGAGACCTGATGGCTATGAGTTGGGCTGCAATCCACATGGTTGGCAGTTTGAAACCACCGGCAGCTTCATGGGAGAAAGACTGGGTTTTCTACTTCCGTAAACAGTTACAGTCTCAGAACCGCACAGGGGCTTGTAATGAATTAGTTGACTCAATGGCAGTGAGTTTGGCTTTTTGGTTTATAGGACAAAGTTGAACTGCCGATGGCATTTCAAAGATAGTAAATCTTTCCAGAAGCAGACTGCCACATATTGTCCCCAGGCGTGTCGGGTGGCTTTCACACTGCTGAACTTCTGGTTAGAAGTCAAGCACTTTAACCGAGGCACCACCAGAGCTCCTTATGGCTTGCAAAGTAATTAAAACCAAACCCAATGCATTAACAACTTTGATATTCCTAAGTAGCTTATGTTCTTTTTAAAAATATAGTCAAATTTTATCCTTATCAGAATCAAAGACTTGCATACACCACAAATAAATCTACTGCAACTGAAAGTTCAGGGTCACGGAGCTGCAAAACAAGATCTTTCCCCACAAATGGGTGAGTCCTATCAGACCCACCCCACCCCCAGCTATTGGACGTACTTTGCTTTAGAAATTTTTTTTTTACTATTGTGTTTTTGTAAACTTGGAAATGCCAACAGACAGGCAAGCTGTTATTATAATTACTAACGTTGTGCTTGAAGGCAATGATTATGCTTTAACTGAAGAAATATTATATTAATGTTCTACGTCATCATTTCTTAGTTATTTTTATTTCGCTTCTTATTGTTGTAGAAAGCCGTTTCTCTGGGATCTGTGTTCATGTCCATAGCTGACTCTTCCGGGAGGGAATTTGTCTTATAAAGAGGTTCTCTGTAAATGCAAGCCAGAACATTTTCAAGAAAGCCATGCCTACCATCACTCATTTGCTTTACACACTTCCATCCAAATGGATCGAGGCTCTTATCTGAACCTTTTAGTAGCCTTCACATTGCTTTTAAAGACTAGCTATAATCTCCATAAATGTCCACTTATTTTTCTACCAGGAAAATGGAAATACTGATAACCTGTCTGTCTCTTCCCCAATATCAAGCGGCCTGCAACAGAAGGAAGCTGCTATAAATAAAATGGTCCTTTCCCCCAAAATTGCAGTCAACCAACTCCCTTTCCAAGAGTTGGTTCTCTCGGCTCTGTTCCAAGGTCAATTTTAGAGCCTGACTTGTGTTGTTTCCTGACAAAGGAAGGCAAGCAGCAGTCGGGTGACAGCTTGGGAATCAGAGACATTGCCGTTCTCTCCTGCGTCCGGCAGAAGAAAGGAAAGGCAGCTGTCTTCGTGATGCTTCAAGTGAAGCGGCACTTCTTGTTTTATTTATGCATAGAGAACTCTGCCTTCACAGAGCTGTGGTCAAGTGACAAATCCACGCAGTATATTTTAGCCTCACTCGGTACGTGGCTCGTTCACATAGGGTGTTAGCCATTGTAGAAACGAAGGGAGAGTAATAATGTTGGAAGCAAGTGGAAAGGGACTTGGGAGAGGAGGCTGAGTTGTGGAGTCAAGTCAGCATTCTTGTGTACATTTCTCCCCTTCTGTAATATGCTTAGAGGAGCCCTGGTGGCACAGTGCACTACTCTGGACTGCTGACCTTAAAGTCAGCAGTTCAAAACCACTAGTCTCTCAGTGAGAGAAAAAGGAGGTTTTCTACTCTTGTAAAGATGTACAGCCTTGGAAACCCATAGGGGCAGTTCAGCTCTGTGCTACGAGCTTGCTATGAGTTGGAAATGACTGGAGGGCAGTGAGTTTGCCTTTTAGTTTGGGGTCGTAGGGGTCCATTCCCAGTCCTCCTCTCCCAGGGTCGGCAGCTACTCCGAGGGCAGTCCAGTGATCTGATGCACGAGTAAAATAGCATGCCCCATAATGATACAGACTCACACTCTCTGGTGAGAGGAAAGCTGGTTGACAATAGACCTAGAAGATCCGATTGCCGTGTTTTCCTTGTTCCTTTTTGCCTTTCATTTGTCCTGCAGGCAGCTCAGCGTCTCCCAGGTGCAGTCACCATGACCCCAGCAAAGTGATGATGGAAGAAAAGGAAGCTGGAAGCTCCTGCGCTCTGGTTTCCACAGACGATGGATGGAGGACAGCCCGCCCCTTCACCCCTGCTGCCCCTTGGGAATGCGTCATCTGATTTTAGTATGTCGCTGGAGCAGAAAACCACGTTTGTTTTTGTCATTTTGTTGTTTATTTTCTTGGGCATCCTCATCGTCAGGTGCTTCCGGATACTTCTGGACCCATATCGGAGCATGCCGACCTCGACCTGGGCTGATGGGCTGGAAGGCCTGGAGAAAGGACAGTTTGACCATGCTCTTGCTTAGCAGGGAGGGGCGGGGCCTCCTCGGGTGGAGGTGAGCACTTCAGGTCTGGCTGAGCAGCTCCCTTCCGCCAATGTTCTCAACCAATAAAATTATCACAGCATCTGGTCCTAGATTGAGTTAGGAAAGATACCGCTGGGCTAAAAGAATTTGAGGATGTTGGTCTTGGAGATTTGTATTACTAATCACAGACTCTCTGCTTTTACTCAGTGGAGGAATATGATATTATTGGATGTGTTTGATTTCAAAGAGCGTCAATCCTGACAGACTTTGCTATAAAACAAAGCCGTCTCAGAGATTAACCAGAGACTAGAAGACTTACACGCTCCAATGTGATCCAGTTGTCAAGGCCAAGAAGAAGCTTCATTGTTCAAACTCTGTCTCAGGTTTATTTTCTTGGGAAGTGGGGCCCAGGAAAAAGAGTGGGAATGATGATGCCGAGTGTAACCCGAGATGGTACACTCGGCAGGGCTGAGAAGACTTGCTTCTGTCCTGGGTAAATATTGGTGAGGGTAATATTTTCCCCCTCACTAAATTGGAAGCTTTACAGAACTAAAAACGATTTACCAGGCCAAGCACATTCTATTTAGTCTCTTAGTCACATGCGTAGAGCTAGCTATAAAAACAAATAAACATTGTTGTCTAGTCAATCCTGACTTCTGGCGACCCCAAATGTGTGAGAGTAGACCTATGTCCCATAAGACTCTTAATAGCTGACTTTTCAAAAGTAGAGCCTCAGACCTTCTAACAAAGGCATATAGGGTGGACGCAGATCTCCAACTTACGGCTCGCTTAACCATTTGCACCACTACTCTCAAATTAGCCACACCTAACCAGAATTTGTCTCTTTATATATATCCATCCCAAATAATTGAAATTATAGTTTTATGTGCAGATTCAAGTTTTCTTTTTTAAATAAAAAGTTAATATTTAGAGGGAAAGACTTGTAAAATCTTGAGAGGGCTGTGAGTTTATGACTGTATATAGAAACTAAATAAAACTTGTCAAGAAACAGAAATGTCTCCTATTTCACCAAATTAAAGAGGAGACAATGAATGATGTTAAATGCTAAGGCTTTCGAGTTTTCCAAAAGAACAAAAAAAAGAGCAAGGACCATGAAAGGCCATCTAAGTCCTTCCTCTCTCATTTCAGGAAGGGATCCCACAAAGTGTCCTGCTCTAAGCCCTGTTTAAGTCCACCCAAAAGAGATGTGAAAGCTGTTAGTCCAACTTGTATTGTTGAGAAATCTCATTTTTAATTCCCTCATGCTATATTTATAGACGAGGTTCTCTAAGATTCTTCTCAGTCATCTTTTTTTGTAATTGCAAAAATAAAATAAAATAAAGCTCTCTATGCCCTAAAAGGTAACTTTTAGTAAAAGTGCTTTCTTGTCTCCTATTTCTTTCACATTCCTTGGGGATGCTGTTGCCCAGGCTTTCTCTTCCCTACTGTCATTCTTTTCTTTATTTTTTCAATAACAACTTTATTGAGATATAATTCATATACCATAAAACATCTCAGAGTTGTGTATTCATCTTCACCAACTGATTCTAGAATATTTTTATCACCCCCAAATGAAACACTCTTATCTATTAGCATCCAATTATCATTTCCCTCTCCCATAAATACCTTGCAATCTGTATTGATGTGCTGACTCTGGGCATTTCACATAATGGAAATAAATAATACATTTATTTTTGTCTCTGGCTTCTTTTATTTAATTTCTTCTCTTTTTTTTAAGATACAACTATGTTATTGACTGCATCTTCATTCTTTTGTATGGTCAAATAATATTCCATTGTTTGGGCATACCTTAGTTTATTTATCAATTGGCTATAATGAGTAGTACTGTGGTCCCGGTTTATATACACATTTTTAATATGGACATGTGTTTTCCATTCTCTTGGGTATCAACCAAGGAGTGGAATAACTGGGTCACATGGTAATTCTGTGTTTAACTTTCTGAGGAATTGCTCAAATATTTTCCAAAGCATCTGTACCATTTTAGACTTGCAACAGGAATAGATGAGAGTCTTGATTCTCTTTGTAACTCTTGCCAACAAATCACATTTTTTTAGTCATAGAATTTATAGTTGAATGCATCCTTCCAAGATAGAGTGGGACTTTTAAAAGCCAACTGCCTTGTGGTTAGTCCATGTCACAAACTTATTGATGCCTTCAGAGATCTTTTGTGCCTAGCTACAGAGCCAAGCACTGTTGATGCTTTGAGGTCATCTCGAGGGCCATTAAGTCCCCTGGAGTCCCTCCCTGCCTGGCCTTACCAAATATACATACTGTTTAATTAATGAATTATAGAAGGTACTTTCTTCTTCAAATATACTAGATCATATATGTCCTTAATAGGTTCCCTCTTGTCTTGCTTTCATAATAATCAATTCAGATCCACCCAAGATTTATGACACTTGCTTTGAACCTGTCATTGCCATCGCTGGAGACAGAAGAAAAGTATGAATTTTGATCTTAATCCTAAGTAACTCTAAAGATTGGAGAGATAGGAAATGAAATAAGGCATATGATTGACTCACGGTTCAAATTATTGATATTCCTACACCATCAGGATCACCCGGTTGCTTTTTGTTTTAAGTGTATGCTCACTTATATCTGTCATAAAGGTCTTGATATGGTCGTGGTAAAAATGTCCCAAATGATATGAAAACATCAAAAGGTAAAGAGCAAATTAAATTCTGCCTCCTCCAGTCAATCTAATCCTCTGCTTTTTCCTGGAGAGATTGTTCACCGTGTAGCTCACAACAGCCTTCTACCCGCAGGTGTGGAACACATGGAGTGTGGCTCATGAGCAAATACTCCGGGCGACAAAAGATGGGAGACATGGGTGAGGGCAAGTTGTCAAGGGAAGGCCCCAGGAGACAGTGGCTCAAGTGCTTCGTATAAAACTCTACGCCATACAAATAACTATTATGAAATAAATTAGATCAGAACCTAGGAGGGTGGAGATGCTTTAGACAGTTAAAAGACAGGGATGAGAGGAGCTTTAAGAAAGGGAGGTGTGGGGCTCAGAGTTGGGAGAGTAACTTGACTAGAATAGACAGTGGATCGGTCGCTCAGTGGTTCAGCCCTTGGCTGCTAACCAACAAAAGGTTGGTAGTTCAAACCCACCCACTGCCTACAAAGGAGAAAGACCACCCACTGCTTCCATAAAGATCACAGTCTTGGAGATTCTCTGGGGGTAATCTTATTCTGCCCCCTGAGTTCATTACCAGTCCTGATCCACACCAACAGCTGGTGCCTCCTTAGGAAGGATAAAGGCAGAACTGGGCTTCAGTGTCCATCAGAGTATCTTAAGCAGGAATTCATTGTGGAAGTCTTTGTGATTCATGAGAATGCAAGTGATGTGAAAGGGGATGTGTCTTTCAGTTTCTGCATCCTTCCTCAAGGTAAAACTGGGATCTACTTCTGTAATGGGAGGAGACTGAGAGCAGGCATTAGCAGGAAGTACTACAGTACCACCCAAAGCCAGCTCTTCTTTCTTTCATTCTTCCCTTTACCCCCACTCTATTTTTTGTTTTTCCTTCTCAGATTACTGCTCCTTCTTCAACCTTTCTTCAGCAGATCTTCTTCCTTTTGTCCAGAGCAGGACTACATAATAAATGGTAACAGCTTTGGGCTATTCAGAGTAATCTATCCCCCCTCGGCCCCCTGTGAGAAGTACTCACTTTCTGTTTTAACTACTCCAGGCTCCTTGGGATGAGCAACAGATTCTTTAAAGGTCAAGGAAGGCCTCTCTTTCTCCACTTTCTAGCTGCAGCAGTTACAGTGCAATATTTTGCCTACCATACAAGATATTGCCAAAGAGTTTGAGGCCTTTATCGTGTGTACTGCATCCCAGGATTATAATATAATATTATATGTTTTTATATATTATATTAAAAATATAATATAATATATATATATATATATATTTTTCCCCCTCAAGGTCACTCTCTAGACCAGCGTTGCCTTTGGATTTAGTTTAATGTGGCAATCTCCTTCTCAGCCGGAGTTCTGAACCACAGCCCTGCAGCTCCTCCCCCAAGCAGACCCCAAGTTCTAGATCAACATTATTCCCCTCCAAGAGACCTTTATAAACATCTTAACCACTGAGTAAAGTAAATTGAACATGGGGCATGAAGGAGATTAGCTGGACTCCTACTGTTAAAGTAATAAACATTCCAAGCCAGATAATTCTTTTTGTTATTTTTAAGGGTTAACGCTGATACAAAATAAGCAACAGTTTTAGGAGGCAGTGGTTAAATAGACTGGATGCTCATGTATCCCAGCGGGAAAATGTACTGCAATTCCATTCTTATTGAATTCCCTGCATGATGTTCTACTAAAACACTGACATGTCTGTATTGTAGATACATTGACACATTTGTAGTGATGCAAAATGTTACTTGTTCATTTTCATGTTTAAAAACACTCAGAAATGACAAGTAAAATATACTGAAATATAATTATTTTCGTAAAATTTTAAGCCTAAAAGCATTGACTGTAATCTGAGATGTGTATTGTCAAAGAAAAGTTAAGTAGGGAAAGTGTCTCGTATGTTGCATAATCACAAATGTAAAGTAGAGCTGTAATTTCTAGGGGGGAAAAAAGTGCCCAAATCCCTATATGTACCTATACAGTTCCGTACCCTACTGGACTGGGTCAGAAGAGTTTGTTTTGAGACAGAAAAGGTAGATTCTGTAAGTTTTGTTTGGAACTCCTGTTTCTAAAATGAATGACCCTATTATCTATCCCCAGATAGAGACCGACTTTGGAAGAAGTGAATCCTCTCCATCTCGAGGCTTGTTCTGGATGAACATGCCAGGGTTCAACACCAAGGTCATTTTGTAGAATAAGGTTCCCTGCTGACTCAGTAGAGGGAGTGGAGATTTTATTTCTGATTTCCTGCTATAAACTATCCTCATGTCTTTTTTGTCCCAAAGTACCAGGAGATTCTCTTCTATCCCTTCATCCCCAGCCTTGCCCAGTATCCTGACTGATGTTTCTGTGCTCTCTTTATTTGCCACTAAGAGGGATTTGCTTTAAGCCATCATTTGAAAGGGGTTTGCGCCCTCGTTTTCTCCCAAACCCTAATCCTCACCCGGAAGCTCAAAGCTTATGGCAAGGCTTTTAAGATGAAAGATCTCCCTCAATTCTTTGGAGTTTGAACTACTGATAAGAAACTTTTCTGTCACTTATGTCAACCCCTCATTCTACATATTAAAAAGAAGCAATCCAGAGGGCAAATGCCAGGCTTACAGTCATTTCTCCATTCATTAACTGTAGTTGTGTCATCCTACATGTGTGGGGTGCAGATGAGTTGACACAGAATTACCAGTTCATGTATCCATGATGGACACATCCATTTGCTACCCAACATGAGAGGCATTCTTAGATCATTTGTTTGTCTGGGGACAAGCATGCTCGGTTTCCAGAAGGGTTAAAAAAAAAAAAAGGTCCCATGGACAAACTATTTTCTTTTGAGGATATCTCCAAGCTTCAGGCCAAGTGTCTGGGCAACCGGAATTATTTCTAGTAAGACTATGGAGAATTCCTTAGCAGAAATTCAGTTTCTCAAAACACAGCAAAATCATCTAAGATAAAGCTTCAAAGTGTCTTTATTTCCAATGAGGCCTGTGAGCGGTTTTCTTAGCTGAAGAGGCACGATGAGAGAGATTAAACCACCAAGCTTATAAAGACTGCAGATAGTTTCCTATCTCTGGTTTATCAGAGAAATGTTTGAATCCTCCTGGGATGAAGCTAGAGTGTCAGAGAAGATACAATGTCATAGTTCAAGTTCAAAAGTGCCCTTTATCCTATCCTGCTTTGCCTTTTCCCCTAGTTACCTCACCTCTTTCTTTCTCCCATTATCTTTCTGATAATGGAATGCTATAAGAAACTTAATGCACCATGAGATTTCAGACTTCTCTGATACAGAAATATCTTCTTCGATTGTCACAACAAGTGGCTATCTGACTTCTGTCTGAACATTTCTAAAGTATTAAGGAGTCCATCCCATTTGGGCATATTGTTTTTACAAAATGTGTCTTGATTTGCCAGAAAGTTATCTTTCTGTAATTTTCACCAAATGGCCCATGTTTTGTCTACTGGAGTGAGACATTCTTAATAGTCTTTAACATGACAACCTTTCAAAATGCGAGGACAGCTTTTGCTGAAAGACAAGTGTCCATGGGTCTCTTTCCGTCTTTCTAGTAGAGGCACTGGCAGCATTTTGCTCCTTTCATAGATGCTTTTATAGCAAAGAGCCTTCAAAAAAGAGAATTTTTATTTTTTAAGGCTAGGAAAAAGACCAGGCTTACTGGTTGATGAGGGACTGCTAGAATCCTTAAGACCAAAACTCTTAATTACCCTTCCACCTTCGAACCAAATTCGTCCCCATGGCTCAATTTTCAGCCAAACAAGAAACAGGCCTATAAAGTTGAACCTAACGTGAGGGAGGAATGCATCCTTAGACCAGATAATGCGATAAGGTCAAAAGGACAGCATTTGCCCATAGACAAAGGTCAGAAGGGAAGAAGGGATAGAAAAGGAGAAATGGAAATGGTATAAACAAGCAGGTAGAGGGGAAAGTACTGTTACATTATAAGGAGTGCAATTAGGGTTTCAAAACAAAATATATATGAATTGTTGAATGGAAAACCACTTTGCATGGCAAACTTTCACCTGCA